AGTTGAGATATATCAGGCAGGTTATTTGTGAATCTGTCTTTGGTGGCTGGAACCGTTCTGCCCGGACGATAACGCGGAGCCATATAGATGTATGTGTAATAGCATAACCTCTCATAATTCCTCATTAATTATTTTCTGATGACTAAAACATAACCTACAATAGTAGAGGTGACTATTCAATTCATCATCTAATGCACATCAATGAATTAACTTAAAAAAATGTACATACTAAGTGTAAATATTTTAATTGTCTTCATAGCTATATTGTAGAAGTTGTTAAGAAGACTAACTATTTTCATGAAACTATAACACTAATAGCCTTTTACGGGCACATTTAGTTCAATAGCCTGTCTTGGCCTATGTGACACTAGAAATTTCAGTTAGTTTTAATTTACAGTACAGTGCAAATGAAGGCATAAATCAATTTAATTTATCTTTTAATCAAATGAGAGTTAAACTCCTTGTTTTTTGGCAAGCAACGGGTTTACTATTAAAATTAAAACATGGAAGAAATAGCGTATTGTGTGATTATTCTTTTAAACAAAAGTTGTAATAATTGTTGTAGTAGTATTATGCATATCATACTTCACCACAGTAATATATTTCTGATAATTTCTTTAAGCTAACCCAAACTTATATTTTGACGGGTTGCGATGAGGAACTTTTAAGTTTCTGTAGCGAATGTAAGTGTTTCCCATACATTGATTTATTTGTGGCGCCCGCCACAATATCAAATTTTCCAAAAGGCTTTGACTTGTTGAATAAACATGAGCACTGCACGTTTCAAAATTTAAACCCGGTGCGGGTTTTTTTATATCACTGTATTTCTGAAGGAAACCGACTGTCTTTACAGATACTAGTCCATATCGCGACTCTATTTAAGTGTACTGACCTACTTTTGATTAATTCATCCAAACTTTGACAAATTCCGTGACATTCCGTGTCATACAGTAAATTACATTTATATGACTGGATTCCGTCCACATTTTCTGCATCACGGAAATCATAGATAATATTGAGGTGTTTTGCAACTTCAGTGTAATGTTAGTGGATTGTGATTTATTGCAAATTAAGCAACATCTGCTGCTGACTTACTTTTGAGAGACAACTGGTGTGTGATCAGTGATCACTGAAGCAGCTCCAGTTAGCAAGCTTTCGGAGTGAGAGCGAATTCCGCATTGATTGGTCAGACTCGTGACTCTCAACAAATCAGATGGGTGGTGGGCAGAGATTGCTTTAGGCCACAGAGTGGTGAGTTCTGACAGGCTGCATCAGAGCCAAATAGCGCGTTTCAAAATTAAGTTATTCCTAGGACGCTCCCAGAAAAGATTCCAATTATTAACAAAGAGCAGTTTCTGTTCTTTACACCATGACAATAACCATTCATTTAAAGCAAAAAGTCTACTGAACCTTTCATGTCCTCGTCGATACGTGGGAAGCGGTCCTGACACGATGATGATGTATGGAGCTTTACTGAATATAATTTTCCCTTTGAATGAATGTTTAAGTATTGCCATATACATATATGCTCGTGATCTGCGTATGTGCATACTGCTTCAGTTCTGTAGTTCTTCTTGAAAATTGGACAATTGTCGCTCTGGGGCTTCTGTTTGGTTCGTTTGGTCCTAGGTGGTGGACTATATCTATGTTCTTTTTTGTTTAATTTCTTTCTTTAAATGCCGTCTCAGGTGGAGAAGACAGTTTGCTCTCTCTTTGGTAAGAGTGTTCTCAACATTATCCAGGTCCTCCATATAAAACACTAGGTGTTACTAAAAGTTCTTCTTAGTTTAGAGGTGTAATGCAGCTTTACCCGCACAGTAGTAGACTTGTCCGAGATAGTAACTGGCATGCCACTAGTTGATATATAAATGATATAATTAATATAAAAAGAGCTCAGAGGAAATAACATCTTGCTGTCATGCCATTTTCATCTTCTGGGTTTAAATTCTTCATTGTGTCAACCTTCATTGTGGATGATTTCTTAAGTGATGACTCATCTGTGTCTTTGTTCTTTCCTTGCTTTGCTTAATTATACCTGAAACACATGTTGATTTCCTATGACAGATGCTTTAAACTATGAGATCGCATTCAATGAGTGTTCATTGATCAAAAGTGAGTGTTTTCGCTTTGTAAGAATTCCTGCATGGCGTACATTCTCTTCAATATACCATTGAGTCTCTGACGTGAACATGTTTCATCCACACTGAGTGTAAACGGTTTTTACAGCTACTTGATATAACCGATTAAACAACTTATGCAAATGTTGTCACAGGATGTGTGTTTGTGTAGTTGTATGGCGAGTTTGCAAAACTATGTATAATTGTTCATTTTGTTGTGTATAATTGTGAATTGCAGCGTGCATTTGTGGAAAGCTTTGATGCTTTTAACTCACTGACAGCAAAATAAAACTGATGAAGATGCTGTTGTGTTGTCTGTCTCCCCACTTCGCCTCCACTCCACAGCTTACCACACCTGCTTTTGTGGTGAGAACTAACTGCTGCTGAAACTGGGTTTCATGACCCTTAAAGGGATAGTCCACCCAGAAATTAATTCACTCACCCTGTTGTTCCAAATCTGTATGCCTTTTTTTCTTCTTCTATGGAACACGAAGATATTTTTAAAAATGTTGGTAACCAGTATATAGTCTTTCATGTTCCTATTATATTTATTCTTTTTTCGGATGCTTTTATCTGAAGCAATTTGCAATACAACAAGCGATTCATCATAGTGATAGTAATGCAAAATTTCAAAATATCGTTTAAAATAGCACAAGCTAGAACAGAGATGGATTAAGGAATAGTGAAAACATTAGAGGAGTTTTTTTTTCTCAGTAGGATGCAGTGCTAATGGAAGAGATGTTTTCAGCTGTTTCTTGAATATTGTAAGGGATTCTGCATACTGGATAGGGTTGGGGCGATTGTTCCACCAGCAAAGGACAGTGAATGAAAAAAGTTCTGGAAATTGATTTTGTGCCTGTGTGATGGTACCACGAGGCTCTTACCAACCTTAAACTTTTGGAGGGGGAGATAAGATCGACTGGAGGTAGGAGGGTGCAGAAAGATAAACACAGGTGTGTGACCTGGGCTCTTAGGCTCATTAAAGACCAATCATGCTGCTGCTGAATTCTAAATCATTTGCAGAGGATTGATTGAACATGATGGAAGTCCAGCCAGAAGAGCATTGCAGTCCAGCCTAGAATGACAAGGGCCTTGATGAAAAATTGTGCAGCATGCTCCATTAGGAAGGGGCTGATGTTGTGCAATGTAAACGTGCATGATCGTGCCGTCCTTGCAGTGTGGTCTTTAAAGGTCAGCTGGTCATCAAAGATTAACCCCAAGATTTCTGACCTAACTTGATGGGATTTTTGTTATCAACCATAGCTGTATGGTAAAATTGTGCTGTACAGTCGTGAGTGTCAGGGAAGATGAGAAGCTCTGTCTTTGTATGGTTAAGCTGTAGGTGATGTTCTTTCATTCATGCCGAGATGTCCGCCAGGCAGTCTAGAGTTCTGTGCAGCTACGGTTGGATAATTTGGAGTGGAAGAGTGAGTTGGATTAGATGTTTTGAAGAGTTTGCATGTGTCTGAAGTGCTGTTGATTTTGTTGTGCAAGTTTTGGCAGTGTGGACCTTGATAGAAAAAAGATTAAAGCAGATTAAAGCCATTTTCTCTCTGCTGTCCTGAGTTTGGGTTTAGAGGGAGCAGCACATGCTGACCTGGAGGAAAGAGGAAATATTTCTAGACAAGAAGTCAAAGTGGAGCATAAAGTGTCTGTAGCACTTCACATCCAGTTGTAAGAATTTGGTGAGGGAGGGAAGAGAGGATGGCACAACAAAGGAAAGGTGGGTGGGTAAAAGGGAGCATAGGTTTAATCTAAAAGAAACTGGCAGGGTGATTGATGGCACACACAAAATAAGTTCGGAAATGGTGCTGAGGTTTCCCCAAAATGTTTTCCGTGTTACAATTGCTTGTGTAAAGGAGGTCTGATTGCCAGATTTTTTTAGTACCTGCGGTGGTGAGCTGTTAAATATCAAATGAGGCTACAAGAGAGAGTGGAAATCTGCAGTGTAAGGCTTCTCCAGGTATATGTTGAAGTCACCAAAAACTACAAGTGAGGACAGCAGCACATCCAGCTCCTCTAAAAAATGTGTTAGTTGGCCTGGAGGTGATAGGCTGCAACAAAATGAAGCATGAAGTTCAAAAGAATTATTTTTGCTCTCACTTAAACAACTCTCAAAATAAAGTGCTCTGTGACTTAAAATGAGTTGCTGTATGTAACATTTTCCACTGTTTATAACCTTATTAAATGTCATCTTTCTCATCATATTCTGACATTGTATCAATTAATTCTGTTAGAATAATAAGACACTGTAGAGTTGTTACCATTCAAATGATATCAGTATCAACAAACTCCATCTTTCCACTGCAGAAGAAACACAGAAGCTGCATCTGAAGTGGCATTAGATGTATTTACACAGACTGCTTAATGAAACCGAGAGGTGCCATTAATGAATTTGCACCACAAAATTGCAAATGCTTAATGTTATAAGATTAATGTTTTAAATAATTTTTTTGAACATAGAAATAAGACATGTTGGGGGAAAAAAATGCAATTTTATACTTTTAAAAAATGAAACCAAACCACCAGTAGGTGGTGGCAAATGACTCAATACGTTCAAAAGTGGATTCTTTCAGTAACAAAACGCTGCTGTGTTTCTCAGAGACACACAACAGTTCTGCTGTGGCTTTGATTGGAACTATTTTCATCAACTATTTTAGTCACCGGTCCGGGCCAAGCATGCGGAAAATCAGCCGATTCCAGTCCCAGGCCAGTCGATCGGTGCATCTCTATTTATTTGTTGAATCTCTGTTGCACTGATTAAAGGCTGAACTAATATCATTAAGAAACAATTTTGAAAATGTATATCTTTTCATTTCATATCGTTTCATATATTCCCCTCTCATAAACCAACTAAACAATCATTTTGTCTCTTGTTGCCAGACACTCTCGTTTCCGTGGCTCTTATGTCATTCAAGGACTGAAGTCCATTGGAGAGAAAGATGTGATTTTTCACCAAGGACTTCACAATGTAAGTATCACTTTAAAACATGAAAACTTTTTCAAATTACAATGGTGTTTAAAAAAAAAAAAACACATTTTACCACCTCACTTTCATTAACATGTTTTTTTTTAATGTTTTAAAACGAAAGTTTAAGAACTATTCTCATGATGTGGGTAAGCCCGTGAGGCGTGTACCTAAACGCAAACAGATGGCTCAAGACTCAGAGAGTCAACGACGCTCAGCATTGAATGTACGTCTCTTCCTGCGTGAGTTCTGCATCGACTTTTTGGAGAACTGCTATAATCGACTTATGTACCTTGTGAAGGTGAGTAAGACAACATCCACATAACTGAAACTCAAATGTCTCTGTCTAAATGAGTTTTCCCCATCATATACCTTGTTTTTTTGAGCAGGAGGGGTTGATCCGTGAACGGGCCCAGCAGCATGATGAGACATACTATCTTTGGGCTATAACATTCTTCATGGCCTTCAACCGTGGTCAGAACTTCAGACCGGATGTGGTGTCTGAGACCATATCCAACCGCACCTTTCATTTCATTGAGAAGAACATTACCAACTACTATGAGATGATGCTCACTGACCGGAAAGATGCTGCATCCTGGTCTCGCAGGTTGGTTTTGTCATTTCTGTTGGTTAAAGCTTTTTCTGTGAACTGTGAACTGTGGTGTTGCTGAAATTGAAAAAAGTTAAATGAACTGAGCAATAGAAAACTGCTTAGACATTTGTGATTAAAAATTGCTATTAAAAAATGTCTTCCTTTTTTTCCTAACATAACTTCAATGTTAGAAACTAAGTCTTGTTGAACCATAAGAACCAACATCTGCATTTTTGACCATTTAAAAAAAAGTTAATACAGCTTAGTGAAGTAAAGGCCACTTAATATTGATCGGTTGTTTTCTGTCTCCAGGATGCACTTGGCTCTGAAGGCGTATCAGGAACTGCTGCTGACAGTAAATGAAATGGATCGCTCAAAGGATGAAAACATCCAACACAGTTCCAATGTCATAAAGAGTACGTTTTTTTTTCTACTTATTTTCTACATATCTCTCTCTGCTTATTTTAAAATAATAGATTAGATCATTGCCACTGTTTGAAATGTTTCTTTTTCCTCTGTGAGTTTTGTTTAATATTTGGGTAGTATACTCATCTTTTTGTTCCTCATCTCTGTCACTTGTTTGCTTCTGGTTGGTGCAGGTAATATCTTTTATCTGATGGAGTTCAGGGAGATTTTTCTTACTCTCCTACGTAAATATGATGAGCGAATGCAGCCACGCTCATTTCTCAGAGATCTGGTGGAGTCCACACATCTGTTTCTGAAGATGCTGGAGAGATTCTGCAAGGGTCGAAACAATCTGGTTGTACAGGTGAGAACTGAGACTGATTTGATACTAGCTTTTGGATAAGCTGAACCACTTTTAAGTAAAAATTACATGTGGGAATAAATGTACATTTATTGACATTTATGCTTTTGCTAGACTCATTCAAAGCAACTTACATTTAAGGTATAGGCAAAATTTGATGTAGTTCATGCATTCCCTTGAACCATGACCTAGCGTCGTATTCTACCATTTGAGCTGCAATAATGCTTGCTTTTATGTATTGTGTTTTTGACATCACATCACATTATGGGCATCAGTGTAACCCCTAAGACATCTATGAATTTGATGAGAGCAACTTTTACAGCTTAAATAATACATTAAACTTTATTTGCTGAATTATTATTTATTACTGAATGTTTGCATCTGTTGTGAACAGGACAATGACTCTGGACAAAAATAGGCTTGTGATGTCTATTTTCCTGTCTCAGCATTTACACCATCACACAGGTTTTTCATCAAAAAAGCTTTTTATTTAATTTATTAAATTAAGCAGCAAAGACTTCAGGAGGCCAGAATACAAACAACAAACATAAATGTTCTGCCTATCCAAGGAAATATTTGAAAACGAATGTAGATATACTACACCGGGGATGCCTGATATTATCAACAGTTCATTGGAATCATCTAATTGCTGGCATCATTTGCTGGTTAAAATTTGGTGCTTGAATAATGATTAATATATAGTCAATTTATAGTTTATGCATATACAATTTATAGTTTATGTAAAGATTGATTTAAGTTGTTGTTTTCAAAGCCTATTCAGTGTTTAAAATAATGGCTTTCAGTTATATTGTAATGCTGAATGGCTGTAATTAATGGCAGAAATTGAGGGAAAATGCATTTAATAGAAATATCAGTAGCAGTATTGGTATCAATTATACTGGCCTTCTTTAATAATAGGCTATTTAGTAAAAAAGATGCCATTAAACATTTAAAATATACCGTCTTTGTTGTTTCTACATGAATCTGGAGATTCATTGTGAAATTATGACAATATAAATATATTAATATGCAATTAATCGTGATTACTTACAGAAAAATGTGATTGATTTTTTTTTTAAACAATTGACAGCACAAAGTAAAATGTTTTACTATTTTTGGTTCATGTGTGAAAATGATTCTCATAAAATGCTCTTTTCCAAAAGCTGTTTTTAAGATAAATTTACACTGTTAAAAAGGGGGAAAAGTCTGGCAACAAAGTTTTTATGTGGATTCTGTCAAATTACAGTAAACAAGTTTGCGAAGATTACATGCAGTAAACTGTAAAAACATAGAGCAGAGCATTTTACATTCACAATTAAATTGGAGTATTTTGCTGTTAATTATTGGAGTATTTTGATGTTAATAATTGTTAATTAACATTGTAAATAAAACAGTGTAAAAATATACAAATTGTCAAATACTGCCTTTCAGGTTACTCTTATACTGATTAATTTATTAAGATGCTCAATCTGTCTACAGTAATTTACTTAAAATATAGTTTTAACTAATAGTATTGTCTCTGTTTTAATTGCAGAGTTTTCAATCTCATTAGGATATAAAAAATAAGCTAACATTTAATGATCTATGAGTATTTTGGGGATAACATATTTGTTTACAAACTGAGTTGAGCAATTGCTGTTGAGCATCAGAAATTCAACATGTTTCCTCAACCCTCTATGTACACGTTGGGAATAGAATTGCCATTGGCTAGTAAATGTTTTTGTTCACTTGCCAGACTTGTCCAGTTGTGTGGCAAAGTTAAGGCTAATTCACATTCTGCACCAACAGATAAACAGCAAAATTTGTCGGGTTTTGTTGGATCAGTGTGTTACCCCATGTGTTACCCATTTCTGTTGGCATTGGTCAGTGCTTGTTTTTGCTGATTGAACATGGCAAAATTGTGTTTGTTAGGTCTTGGAATGTCTGAGAAGTGACATACTATAATCTGGTGTCAGTCGACATTGGTCTGCGTCTTTCGTTGGAGTGTGAATTTTGCTTTTACAAAACAGTCACTGATTAACACTGGATACATTCAGTAGTGGCCCTGTATAATTGGTAGGGCTGCCCCCTAATAGTTGACTTAATGGTAGATGACAAGAAGAGGATTAGTCAAATTGCAGCGGGGCCGACATCAGGGATTCCATGACTAACAATTTGGGGGGGCAATTGCCCCCCCCAATGTCACCCATGGTTGTGAGTATCCAAGTGCTGCAGGATAGAGCGAAGTGCCAGTGTCACCGCATCGTCCACTGATCTGTTCGAGCAGTAGACAAACTGAAAAGGGTCCACTGTGTCTGGAACCACAGAATTTATGTGCTGCAGAAGCAGCTTCTCCAGACACTTCATGGCAACCGGTGTGAGTGCCACAGGTCTAAAATCATTAGTTGTATTTGTACAACCGGCACTATAATAGAGAACTTAAAGATGCGTGGGACAATTTCTTGGTAGAGAGAGGTGTTAAAAATGTCTGTGTACACCCCCGCCAGCTGTTCTGCACAGGCCTTTAGGACTCGAGGTGCCATATGGTCTGGTCCCATAGCCTTGCGGGGGTTTACTTTCCTTAGAGCTCCAACAACTAGGGCTGTCAAAATGGCTGAAAAACAAAATTCGAATTTTTTACTTGAATATTATCAAAATTCGAATTATATTCAAATTTAGTGTGAATTTTGCTTTTACAAAACAGTCACTGATTAACACTGGATACATTCAGTAGTGGCCCTGTATAATTGGTAGGGCTGCCCCCTAATAGTTGACTTAATGGTAGATGACAAGAAGAGGATTAGTCAACCAAATTTTAATTAGTTGGTTGGTAGCAAAAAAACAAACAAAAAAACTGGTAAGTAGAGAAGTCATGCAGTCTCTGATGGACAGATTGTTAACTTGGCTGCTGTATATTTATTCATTTGTTTTTGAATGCTGTTTTAGGTGAATATGATGACACAAGTTTAGTATAAAGCTTTGTTTACAAAAGAAATGGGTTAGCAATTAAATGTTACATCGCAGACATGAAAACATTTGGATTTGTGCCGAATGAGAGAGGTACATGAGCGCATTAATTAAATGTTTTGTGATCTGGTCACTCCATTTTCTACAAATTATATTTCAAAATATTCCATGATTTATTCAGTTGGACATGAAATCTCTTGTTTCTTTTCCCAAATCTTCACTCATTTGCTCTTATGACCTTACACAACAAGTATCAGCTGCTTTGGAACATTGGAAGAACACACAAAAACGTTAGACAAGAGTTGGTCTCTGTCCTGCTCGTGTCCCACACCTCTCTGAAAGTGCAGCGCGAAATACATGATGAGACATTAAATTAACATCATAAACATAAGATTGGTTGACAAATTAATGGCTAATGGTCAACTAGGAAAATCTTTAGTCTGGGACAGCCCTAATGGCTGGCACAACATTTTCTTTGGACAAGTTGTGCTTCCTTAATTGAAAGTGCATCCTCTGCTGTGCTTTCTTGGTGTGCTTTCTTTTTATTTCTTCTTTAGTTCTTCACCTTCTGCTCTCTGTTGGTGAGAAAGCTTAATGATCCGGTTAAAGATTAGTGTTGGTACAGTAAACTGACTGAGATTAAAGTGAAGGATGTCCCATGTTCAGTATATCATCCATAGACCTATTTGGTCTTCAGGCAAACTGGAACGGATCCAGCAGTCAGCGTTTAATGACTTTCGGGTATGGTAATAGCATCCTCTCAAAGTGTTTAATAACTACTGAGGTTAAGGCAACTGGTCTGTAGATGTTTAGCCCTGAGATGCAAGCTTTCTTGGGAACAGTGATTATAGTGCTTAAAGCCTGGCGGGACCTCGCTCCGTTATCTTGTCTGCACAGCATTTTAGGCAAGAGGGGGACACCTGGTAAGGGCCAGGGGCATTTCTTTAAGTTTATTGCCATTTGCACAGGTACAGTACAGTACAGGTGGGATTCTTGTGCGTTTCTCAGAGTCAGCTTTATAGAAAAATAACGTAGTAAAATAAATAAGTAATATTGCACATTATATGAAGTAGTAAATAAAGTAATATTGCACATTATAATATTATTTCACATTGTAAAGAAAAGAAAAGAAAACATCTGTTGTCCATTATGGACTATACATAAATAATATTAGATAAATATTTCACGTTGTTTGACAGAAGTGAAAAGATAATGCACATGGGTTAATAATACACTTGTACATGGTTGATGAGAATGCACATGGATTAAGACACTGTTATGCATGGTCATACTGTACATGGTCAGTCACTGAACAAAACATTATATAAGTTAAAGAGATTGATCAGTGAGGTAGTTAATTGTCCAAAGTGTGAAAAGGCGATTGGATGATGGATAATAATTTTCCATAGAAATGGGGAATACTAATTGTCCAGTGTGAGAGAGGGATGTGGGGTGTGGTACTTCTTTCCCAGTGGCTGGAAAGAAGCTATTATACAAACGGGCCCTGTGATGTCTTAGATTGTAGCCTGTGTACACCCACTTATGCCCGGTTCAGACTACACGATCCCCTAACCATAGCCCATAACAAAGACATCTCAAACAATGTCATCTTTGCATTCAAAATTACATAACTGAGCGAATGACACTTAATGACAGTTGTCATAAACATGCATAAAAAACCTTCATATTCATGACATGTGTCGTGCCATGATTATGTAGGTGTCATGTCATGATTATGAAGGTGTCATGTCAGTCTTATGCACACCCCTTCAAGTAAAGTGTAACCAAAAAGTGCATAATGTTTAAAATAATGTTTATAAACCATTTATAATTAAGTTGCTTAAACAACTATAAACAAAACAGCATCTTGTATATATGCATAGTTTAATACAAAGGGCCGAAAGCCACACAGAGTGCATTTTTCATTTAAAAACACAAGTTGCAGTGGGATGGGGAAAAAACTTGCCATAAAGTCTCGAGATATGTTTTCTCAAAGTTGAACTTGCATTAATTTTACATGGCTTTTTAAACATGCTGCTCTTTTGTGCGAGACGCGA